AAACTAACAAAATTTTCATCCTGCTTCAACTTTTTAGCAACACGCGTATCAACATTATCAGCTTCTCGATGTTCTAAGCAAAAAAGAGAATAACAAAATGTAATAAATACAGCGCCACTAATCACTAATATAAGACTACCTTATCAAACAAATTCATTGTAATGAAAATAACTTACGTTTTTCGTTAATACCTTCAATGACTGTAGAAACTATATCACTATCAGACACTGAATTATCACAATCATCGACATCAGTAGATTCAACTTCTGAAAAGTCACTATCATAACACGATAAAGAATCAATTAGTTCTTCATCAACACGGCCAGCATTAACAGATTCTGAAAATAATAAAATAAAAAACACTGTCAAAAACATAAGCAAAACTATAGCTCAAAAAAATCTAATATCATCAAAAAGTAATAACGTTTTTAGCCACTATTTGTAACTCTCAGCTTTTACTTCACGAAAAAAACAATCATTACTACACTACACTCGTGAGCAAAATTAAAGCCCCACTTTTTTGACAGGGCGTAATTTCGAAGTGTGATTAGGTAGGCGGTCGCTACGGCTTGAGACACTAGGTGTCCACTCCGGGCGAGAAAGCCGCGCCGTTTGCTGGGAGCGTATAGGCGCTCCCTTCCAGAGTGGACACCTAGTGTCTCAGGCCGTAGCGAATTTCACCAGGAAGCAATCGGAGGAGGTGTCTGATTCCTCGCGCCCTTCAACATGAAGGTCGGGCACACCTTTTGACGGGCGGGCCCAGTCGGCCACCCCACGCGTTCACCCGGTACAACCCCCTAAAGTAGGGGTTGATTTTGCCAACCCCGATCACGTTTTGACATTTCTGCGAGAGTTTCCATGGATTTTTTGCGTGGAATGCCTTCAGTCTTGTCCAGGATGACATTACGAACAAACGCAGACACTGGCGCACCCTTCCGAACCCCCCACGGCCCGTCAAGGGGCCTAACTGCACCAAGCGTTAAAAAGTGCCGTAAATTTGATGAAAAAAACGTTTTTGGGTTCCGTTTTCGGCTGTTTTGAATGGCAGGGGCGTTTATCTGTCAATCTGATTATTGTCACGAAAAATTT